TTTTCTCCCTCTATCTCCATTTCCTGAATTTCAATTGCTGCTTATTTTGCAATTTTTTCTTCTCCATGAATTATGATTGAAAAAAAAACTTTCCAAACAAAATGATGATACAAAATTGAATAAATCTTTTCAATTGTTTACTCATAATATACAGCCAAGGGAAATGAGTTTGACGGTAAATTTATATCAATTGCGCAGGTAAACCCAAGGGACATGATAACAATTAAAGTTGAGATAAAACTAATTCAGTATTTCAAAGGGTAACCATCATTAGTAATTACATTTTCAATTCTTTCTGACATTGATTCGTAAAGAGATTTACAAAATTCAGGTCTAATTGTTTTTCTGACCACAATTAACTATCATATTCTTCATCTCATCTCTTGTTTCAGCTAAATAATTACAATTGAGAAAATCAGATTTCATCATACCCCAGACATTTTCAATGAGATTCAAATCAGGTGAATAGGGATAAATTTAACATTTGACAATTAACACGATGAGGTGAATTCGGACTATTGAACCAATTGAAAAATTCTAGAATGATACGAGCTTTATGGTGGACAGTTATCATGACCCAATAGCAAAGAGATGATCCAAAACGATTTTCAATTAATTCAAGTCCATAAGTCGAAATGATTTCATGATAAGATGATGAATTTAGTCTCGAATCGAGAAAACAATCGGTCCTAATCCGTGATATGTAATCGCCGCCCAAACTGATACTACTTGTCGATGGCAATGGTCAGAATAGTTGACAAATTTTGGATTGTATCTTTCTCCTTTGGTTCTTTTCACAATTCTTATTCCATCCTTTTCTGAAGATACACAACATTCATCGACAAAAATACATTTTTTCCAATCAATATCTCGATAGTTCATAGCCCATGTTACTCTATTCATTCTGTTTCCATAAAGAAGCTTAGGTTTAGTCGCTGCATGATAAGAACTGATTCCTTCTTTTTCATAAAAGTTGTTGATTGTTTTGGGTGACACACAAAATCTAATTCTTTTGATTGTTGTAGTAGGAACAAAGGATCTTCATGATATTTTAATAGAATTTTCAATTTATCATCTTCATCAAGACACTTGTTGATTTACAATGAGCATAATCATGGTCGATGTTACCTCTTTGTCTGTATCTTTTTCTCCATCTTTCTACAGTTGAAGACTAATATTTAATTGTTGAGAAATGTCACAGTTAGTATGATGATGATTAAACAAATAAATGGCCTGATTCCTGACCGATGAACTATAAGCACGAGGCATAATGAACAATTGAATTACTAGCATTAATTCAAAACAATTACATGTGTGATTTAATCAATTTAATTGTTATCTTAACTCTAATTGTTATCATGTCCCTTGGGTTTACCTGCGCGATTGATATAAATTTACCGTCAAACTCATTTCCCTTGGCTGTATTAGCATAAAACCAATAGCTCTTTGGGAAAAGCTCTGAATCAGATTTTTACTAGTTGATTTCTATTCCATGATAACAAATAAATGCGAAGAGAGAAAGAAAAATTTCTTCGAAATAAAGTATTGGCCAAATCGTTTTTCTAGTTTTGTGATATTTTATTATTACTTTTATTTTGTCTCTCTCACTATTTCATTCTCACTCAATTGTTCACCAAAGTTTCCTCAATGATTTTCAGGATAGAAAAGACTCCCAGTTGGGAATTTTCCTTTTTATATTGAGATTCAGAGATAGTTTTTTTTTCACCATATTACATTATTGCTGTGATAAACTTTTCGATTCTTTGTTAGTTTGTTTGCTGTTGATTTCGAGACAGAATTAGAGAGAGAGAGAGAGAGAGAGAGAGAGTAAATTTAGTGATGAGGATGTGGAATAAGATAAAGAAGAGAAAACTAAGTGAACTCAAGCAACTTCATTGAAGAAAACAAAGTATAATATGATGATAATGATGGTGATCATCATGATATCATGGTGAAGCTGAGGAATGAGATGAACATTGTAAATGTTACATTAAATTAGCTTTGTTAGGCTTGAGTGATTTTGTGTGTAAAGAAGCAGGAAAAAAATAGATGAGGGTAAAAAAAGTAAAAGTAAAAGGATGAGGATGAAGAGATGATGGAAACAACTAAGTCAATGTAGTTCATTCAGTTGAATATGATGGAAATATAATGAAAGATGAGGATGTACATTCATTAATTGGTGATGAATCAGGTGAATCAACGTTTGACTGTTGATATCTTGTTGTTGTTGTTGCTGTTGGTAGTGATGATGGTGGTTCTGATATGCTATTTTATCATGAAAAAAAAGGTTCATGGTAATAAATTAACCTAAAGGTGAAATACATGATTTGTGAACTAGGAATATAATTTCCAGTATATTGGGATGAAGTGAAAGTTGAAACATTGAAATGAGATGATAAGCAATTCTTGATAAGACATCATTCAGAATATGATGAGGATGGAAAATGAATGGAAGATAATTTGTCAAACTTTTTGAAGTGAATGGAAAGAGTTGAAACAAGTAAATCAATGTCATAATCCTAATAGGAGACAAATTGAGAACTTTTTTCCCTCCATGGCTGAATGAAAATTCATTTTCTCTAAAATGAACTTTTCTCTTTCTCTTTTTTTTTGCTTCTAATGAAATTCTCACCTAATTATCAGTTATCTCACATTGACCACCATCACATTTACCACACTCATCATGATAGTTTAGAGAGATAGAGAAACAGGAGTTTTTCCGTTCTCTCATTCTGTCATTTTGATTTCTTTCTCTAATAATGTATGTGGATATTTGCATTTATTTTCTATGCTGGTTGATGAATTGATCTGTCAGGAAACCTCAGTTTCTTATTCAGATTTCATCAGGTTGATTGAATTCACTGGATCGGATGATGCTCAGATTATTTTTGCAATGGAAATCTATCCCTTGAAATAATATTTTCTCATTCTCTTTTCTCCACAACTAATCTGATCACATTTTTAGAAACAACATCCAATCATTCTGATTCCATTAATAATATTTCGCTTTAATATCAAATTGTTGTCATAAAGTTTTCTTACTGTTTCTTATTGAACTTTATTCTTTGCTCTCTTACCTTTATATTTATTATTTGTAACTTATGAATAGTAATTTTTTACCTGAATTTCCAAATGAAAGGTAGGATAACTAAAACTCATCCGCTTAATTTTTCGTAATTAAGAGTAAATCAATTAACTGTCGCCAAAAAATCCGAGTAAATTAAGTGACGTTGACTAAACAATTATTTGTGGCTTACCGGCACCCGGTATTAATTTGAGACTGTAAATTGACCTCTAGATGACCATTAGCTGTGTAAAAATAAGTTTTGTTTCCAAAATTTAACTTGTCTTTTTATGAATAATAATAATGTAATATTCAGAAAGTTGAACATATTATACAGGGAAATTCAGCTACTCTTTGCTGTTTTCTTTTCACGATTACTCGAAAATCACTTGACCGATAGATTCCATATCCAGTCTACGGAAGTTCAAGTGCTATTCTGTCATATTTCAAGGTCATAATGGTTATGTAATAACGTGAGTTCATTTATGAATTTCATTTTCAGCTATGTATTAGAATCATCCGGTTAATCAGATCAATTAAGTTCAACGATTAGCTATTACAGTGTTACATTTCGATTCATTCTTGATTTGCATGTTATCCATCTATTTGATCAAGAGTTCTATCACGATTAGATCGAATCATGCTGTTAATCAGATTAATTCAAGTTCAAGATATAGTCATAATTACATATTAGATCATGTAATTAGTTCGATCATTGAGTTACTTCAGTCAAAACGTTTCATTTGATTCAAATCATTCTGTTCAATGAATTCATGCTCAATAGATTTGAATAGTTAATCAGTCTTTCATCATCTATTATTACTCAATTTATATGAACGTAGTTGTAGTCACATGATTTAAATCATGCCAGCTCTTAATTACAATTATCGTTCGAGATATTTGCTTTCGTTTTTGTCTCATTTTGAACGTTTATACGATAATTAGATTATCATCTTCCTCTCTTTTTCTCTCAGTGCAATCAAACTCTCTTGTATTCTTTGCATAATCAGAGTCATTCAGGGTAAAATCAGGCTCAGATTAAACTCCAAGAAGATGATAAAAACTGCATCACTCATCATATACATGTAATAATAATGATAATAATTTTTCCTCATCATTCTCCTCATCTAAAACGTACGCATCATCATGTTACCTTTTCACCGTCAGAAATTTGCATGAAACATGATAGAAAAACAATACAAGAACAGGTAAGATCCAAAAAGTGTCCATTTTCAAGCATCGACCTTAACAAGCTAACGACAATTCCATCCTTGTTTATAATGAATAAAATAATGTGACAAAATTTTCTTACGATAAAACACCTTAGAGCTTTCTATGAGCTTCAATTAATACCAAGTGCAATTGGACTAAATGATCTATAATTTGAGATTCAATGACTCTTTCAATTGCAACCCAAAGTCTAATTCAGTTAATTATCAGCATCTAAAATTTCAGAACATTTTTCAATTATTCTAAATCGACTTTCTCGATATGATTGTACAACTTTTTTGATAGACATTTAGACTAATCTTTAAATTCTATATACATGTATATGATAGAACATCATTCAAGTTCCAAGAGTTTTATCCATCGACTTGCAAGATAATTATTAAGATAATTATCACTCTACAGATGATCAAGACTATATATTGATTTCTGATTATAATGATATAATGGTAGAAAATATTATCAACACTAATTTATCAGAGATATTGATTGGTTCAACATTATTGACCATCGGCTTGGTTACTTTTTACCCTTGTTAAGATTGATGCTAAGAAACGGACACTTCGAAGATATTGCCAAATATTAAATTTCGAACAATGAAAAGACGATCAAAAAAGTTCCAAACATTAACTATTCTTTCAAAACTTGAAATGATCAACTAATGTTTATCTCTCTCGCTCTCTCTCGCTCTCTATTTTTCCCTCTCTAGAACCACATCCTCGTCATCATCGATATCATTCATCACTTATTACTTATCGACCTTATCATAATCAAGAAGACACTCAAGTGGCCTATCTACCAATTCTAATTATTTTAATTGTTATTAGTCTCTTCCTGATTGTCAATTGTTATAAGAAGGAATCATCACCAAATATACCTGATCTCACCGAGACCAGCTGCCTTTCAGCCTTTATTTCCCGGGCTTGTAATAGCAATGAAGTAACTGGACATCACTCATTTTTACTGCCAAAAGTTAAAACAATACATCAACCAACCTCATTAATAATATCACCTTTAACAAATCATAATAATAGTAATAATAATTATGTTTAAGTTTATTTGTATGCTATTTCAGCAGAGGTTTTGGTGATTTTATATATCAATTATTAAAAGTCGATCTTTTTTTTCGTCATTTGATTATTTCCTTTTTTTAATCCGCTTTTTGATGGAGTCTTAGAGCCCAAAGAATTGGAGATACGATTGCATTTATTATCACAATTTCTTGGGTTCTAAGTTGTATGATGTTCCCTGTAAGCTGAATATACCCTTAGGTTACATTATTTCTTGGTGATGATCTTCAGTCCATTTAATGTTTTCATCCCATTTTCTTGATGTTTTGTTGCTGCAAGATTATAAGGCTGAGAAAATTGAAAGAGAGAGAGAGAGAGAGAGAGAGAGAGAGCAGGAAGAAATTGATGGATTTTGTCTGATTACATGAGTGTATATACTTTCCCTGGAAGATCAAGTAGCTTGGAGTAAAAAACAGTAGCATTGATTACGATTGTAATGATATATATAAGATGATGAATAAGATGAGGTAAAAGAAAATGGCCAAGAAAAATTGCATTTCGATTATCATCTTATTCATTTTCTCATCATCTCTATGCCTATTGTTACATCTTGAGCATCTAATAATCATTTTCCTCTTCCAACCTTTTACAGAATAGATATTGAAAGAAATAATAATAATAATAACCATGGTAAGCACTCTGATTGTGGTTTTCTATTCCTTGAATGAATATCGTGAATATTTTCACGTGACCTTGAGAAGACAAGCACTGATAATAAAACGTTTTCTAATCGATATAAATCTAGAATTCGAGCCATGATTCAAAACAATTTAAACGGTAAGGGAAGAGAAAATTTTAACAATCGAATTTAAAATGCAATCATTCCACTTTGAAGATGATTAAGATGATAATCCATTTACTTCAGGTAATCATCGGAATCTGATTGATGGTGGTGGTGGATAAATAGTGGGAGGAAAATAATTGAAATGATCCTGTAAACATAATAACCTAGAGAAAGAAAATAAAACAAAAAAAAAACAAACGAAAAGATGATAAGACTTTCCCACTCCCAGCTAATATTTTTCACCCTGCAATCATGTTTATCACCTTTAATACCTTAACCATGTATATTATCACATAGTGAGTGAGAAAATGAGTGAGTCAGTGAGAGAGAGAGAGAGAGAGAGATAAAGCAAAAGAGGTAAACTAATATAACTATCAAAGTTAATAAACATGTAATAGATGAGGTAAACGTAGCGAAGGAGGAAAAAAATATATAACTAGAATGAAAATACATGATGATTATTATGATGATAAAAATGATGATAAAAAAGTGGGTGAGATGACAAGAAAGTACATTAAATAATCTGAACTAAACCTAAGGTTAAATTGAATAACTCAGGTTTCTCCATGTTAAGTGTAATAACAATGATAGAAATCATTTTTTTTTTCCTCTCACCCACTCTCACGGAGGATAAGTAATATGTGTACATAGAGTGATGACCAGGGTGGGAAATGATGGTAAGATGTAATAGTAGATGAGGGTGGAAAATTGAATAATCGATTCAGTGATGTACTTTTTTGTTATCTCTTGTTGTATCTTGGTAATATACAACATTTACCTTAGTTAATTTGATGTATTTATAAGTATAACGAGTATGAATGTACATGTAGCATTTTTGATCAAAATTTTGCCATCATTAGTTACTGGAATTGCTCATGAAAGTTATTACAATTTATCATTGAGATATAACCACATAGATATAAATATAACTTGAAGGGATAATAATTGAAGGACAATTAGATGAGCTAACTTTTTTTTTGGTTCATCTTTAACTCTTTTCAATTTGATTGTAAATGAATTGCAATCAAATTGTTAATAAACTGCAATCAATGTTACGCCAAAAGTAGGCAAGAAAAAAAAAGCAATATTATCATTGAATTTAGATGATGATGATTATGGTTATGATTATGAAGCCTATCAGCGTTAATGGAGTACAATTAACTGGATAACAATATAATAATCATGATAATTCAAGCTGAAAGTTATTATTTCATTTACCGTTAGGTTTTTTTACTCATACTCTTTATGTGTATTTATGTAGTGTGTGTGTGTGTTTATGTCATGATTTCATCATCAATTCATAATTATCATGATTCATGATTCGCAGGATAAATTGTAATTATGATTTACACTGATGTAATTTGACTGAATATTCAAGGAAAAATCAGAGAAGATTAAATCATCACAATTGATGCTACTGATTATGATTGTCGTTGTTAAATGATTAAGCTTTTTCAATTAACCCAAGAATGAAAATTTTATATATTAATTTGATGACATGATGTTTGATTATTATTTGATTTCAATGGTGAATTAATGTTAATCATGAGGAAAAAAAAAGTTTCTTTAGAAGAGAATTTTTTTTTCTTCTATTTATTCTCTCAAAATTTGATGACATTATTTTACTATAGTGGTGGTGATGAAGATGATGATGATAACTTTTGATGTAAAAGATGATAAGGAAGGAAAGTTGAGTAGAGAAGTGAAAGTTTGATTTTCCATGAAGAAATTTTTTCTTTCTCTCTTCAATACAATTTCCGTTTTCAAAGATTTCACTCTTTTCCTTTTTCCTGAAGAGCCAAACTGATGAAGCCAATTAAATATCATTGTAACTGTCAATTGTTTCCTCTCTCTCTCACACACTCACTTACTCACTTACTATTTCTCTCTCTCTCTCTCTCTCTCTCTTAAACACATCACACTCACAATCAGCTGTCAGATTATCCCCTCCACCACCCACTATCTCACCTATTTGCTATTTACAAGTTGATGTATCTTTCAATTTTTACTCATTGGTTAAGTTTCCTCGATAAAAACCAATTACTTTCAACATCCTTTTAAATTAACTCTTGATTATCTTCAATCCCAACACACAGATAGAGGTAAAATAATAATACAACAACAAAAGCAACAAGATTTACCTCATTTGATTCACAATTCAAATAGTAACTTGCACCACCAATGATAACAACAAGGTAATGCTATAGATCTTATATCTAATATTACATTGAAAAGGATTCGAGATTAACAGATTCACATATAAGGTTTTAGTTTTTATGCTTTATTGATGGTGTTTTATTTAGTCAAGCAAATGCAATTTTAATCTGATGGAATAGCATTTTTCAAAAAAGGAGAATGACAATGATGAGGTGTTGTTGATGATGGAGAGAGAGAGAGAGAGTTAATGAAATTGAGAGGTGAGGGAGGAAAAAGGATGAATAGATAGAGATAAAGATAAGACGATGTATGAGAGAGAGAGAGAGAGAGAGAGAGAGAGAGAGAGAGAGAGAGAGAGAGAGAGAGAGAGCTGAAGAAAATGATGTTCTAATACAAATATTAGATGATTGAATGGATATGTAGTATTGAAGCTCAGTAAGCAATGAAAGACTCACATTGCGTTTGATATTAATGAGAAATCATTTGTGTTGACAATTCATTCAACTATTTTTTTTGCTTACATTATCATTTGCATTATTATTATCATCTTTCTTTAGCCCATTTCCCTTATCAGAACTTTTATCCTGCAGTAATATAATCATTTATTTATTTACGATACTCATTCATGTTCATTACTTATTGCGTTTTCATCTATTACAATATTATTCATTTCTCTGTCTCTCTGTTTCTAGCGATGATTCTTAATCTTGAATATGTATGAATATAAATGTTGGAACTTTTTTGCTCCTTTTTCATCTTAAATTTCTCTCTCTCTCTCTCTCTCTCTCTCTCTCTCTCTCTCTCTCTCTTCTCTCTCTCTTCTTCTTCTTCTTCTTCTTCTTCTTCTTCTTCTCTTTCTCTTTCTATGAAAGTTCTAAATGTTTTTTTCAGATGTTATTTACAGAGATCATGATGAGGATAATGATCATGAAAGTTTGAAGCTAAATGTTTGTTTATTTGAAGAATCAAAATGAAGATAAATGTTATAGTAAACTGGATATGATTCTAGACTAGATTTGAAAGATTTTTTTCCTTCTTCTTTACTCTTGAAATTGTATATTCATTCATAATAGTATTAACTTGGATAAGGCAGTAATGGTGGGGTTTTCACATTCTCAACTGAAGACACAGTGTGAGACGATTTGAGTTATTGGGAGTAACGTTTATTTCAACATTAGATTTGCAGATACATGATGATGACGATGATGAAAAAATTTCACTCTCTCTCTCACTCATTCTTTCTCCCTTGAATTCTCCTCTGATTGGATCAATAATGTAATAAAGCAATGGATTTAATAACATGCAACCAATGGGAGGTAAATACAATATTTTAAAGTATTAGGGAAACAGACGCGGAAACTTCAGTCTAATTTGAGTTTCATTTTCTGCTGAATTTATGAGAAGAAATAAGAATGCTGGATTACAGGGTGAAATTTGTATCCAAAAATTGATGATTATGAGATTTGATCATGAAAATAACTGAGAAATAAAATCATTTCAACTTTTCCCCTTCTTATCAATAGTGATATTAATAGGATTTATTTCGTATGTTTATTTTGCATTTTACTCAGAATTTTATCCGAAAGGAACATTAACTCATCAATAGGTGAAAGGTGGGAGGGTCAGTGGTCAGATTACCCAAAGGATTATAAAGTTTTTTTCACAATCAAATTTTAGATTTTCAATGTTTGCATACAATATTCAAGAAAGATATTAAATTATATTGAGAAAAAAATTCTGTTCTTCTTTAAGTTCTTGTGCAATATTCATTTTCGATTCAATGAATTCGAAACTATTAATTCACAATTCAGTTTTCTATTCTAACTTAACCACAGGAGATTTTTTTTCTTCAACTTTTTTTGCATTCGTTAAAATTTTTCTCTCTCATGATTTTATCATGTTTATCATCTTCTCTACATTCATATTTAACAGTAGCTTTCATCTTATTCACAATTTCTCACTCACTCTCTCTCTCTCTCTCATTATCTTGTTTTCATCAACTTAACCTTAACTTTTCCTACTTCATCCTCATCGAAATGAATCTTGTACCTAAACATAACATATTATGTCTGTTTTTGACTAATATTTACTCCTAAATGAGTATTAATGTTATTTTCATGG